AGAAAATCTTGTAAAAGTCATCCAATCATCAAAAAAGTAATCAGTAAACAAACTGATTAGCAACTCCCTCTTTGGCCTTCGGTTCAGTTTTTTATTTTTTTTTTTAAGGAGAGATTTTTGCTATGGGGCACATGTGCTCACCAGAGAGACAGAGAGAGACAGAGAGACAGAAGAGAAATCACTCCTCCTCCAGGGGAGATGCCCACACCTGCAATCCCTTTTCCTCCGCTCTCCTCACAGGATTTTAGGCATGCACACACACATACTTGACTTGAGTTTCAAGCCTCTGGATGTGGGACTTGAACCACAGTCAGCCATGTGGGAGTCCAGGGATATAAACATTATGTCATCTGCTGGACTCTGAGTTAACTTAGCATAGTAATCTCTTTACTGGGCAAACCCTGAGCCTCTGAGTTTTTAATTTAGTATAGTAATCTCTTTACTGGGCAAACCCTGAGCCTTCACATCTGGTAGCATTCTCACCTCTGAAGTCTGAGAACCATTGTGAGGGACACTGCTCTGTATTTCTAGGTTCTGATAACCCTATTACACTACTCTAGTCCCCCAACCCTGGGGGTGGGGATGGGGTTAGGAGTGGGAGTAGGAGTGGGGAGTGGTTATTATTAGTGTTAACTTCAGTGTTTTTTCTGTCTGTTCACTGTTGTTCTTTTGTGTGTGTATGTGTGTGTGTGTGTGTGTGTGTGTGTGTTTGTGTGTGTATGTGTATGTTTAGCCTAATATCTCTTAAAATAATTTTCTAAATTAATTTGTTTTTATTATTAAACAATAACAGTTTTATTGTCTGTTTTCCTGACTGGACCCTGAATGAAGCAGTCAAAACTTATAATAAAAATATACTCTAAAGTTAATAGTTCTGTATTTGGGAGGAAGTTTGGAAAAAATTTTGTAATCCTGGATGAGCATAAAAAGAGCCAATCAGCAACCTCCAGTCATCCCCATCCACCATGGCCTTTAATGACATGAAGATAATCCTTAGCAAATGTAATAAAGTTTGTTTTTACCAGTTGGTTTCAATCCGAATAACTTGATTCTGTTTAAATAGATAATTCAGTTAAGATGTTCTTCATAGCATTGTGTATTTGAATATAAGAACTATGCGGTCTTGATGTGTGATAAAATTGCCAACTTATACTAGTTGAAGATTAATACGTGGGGCTAGGGCACATGAAA